AAAAAGAAGCAAAATCCATTAGAAATTCAGTACGTAAAACTATATACACATACATGTGGAAGGCATGATAGATTTCCCATGATGTCCAACATACCCTCCCCACACCGCAGTTTGAGTATTAGCACATTCCCTCATTCTGTCTGTCACGCTGCAGGACAATTCAGCTGTATGTTTGAGGGAAGAAGCTACATTGACATATATGGTCACTGGATCACAGCAAACAGAGCTGTGAACATCCAGAGCTTGGGGTTCAACACCTGAAATACTGGATAACAAAGGGTCCATAAAAGCAAAGATGAAAAGCAATTCCTTCGTATCTAGGTAGGAGAGGTCAGCAATTCTCCTGCACTTAGAAAATCCCAATTACAGCATCAGCTCAAGTGACATTCTGCTCTTCACCTAAATGTCAGTGTAATGCCAGGGTTTCATGTAGACAGGAAAATGAGATAGGCTGACAGGTGAATGAGGAGCTCCAGTGAGGGTACTAACATTTTAAGCACTTTGCTAGAAGAAAGTCAAAGACCTGTCACAGAGTTTAATGAAATAAAACACCCTCTCTTCACAGGTGCCTTTGATTTTTTTATCCTGCACTGAAATTCATGGAAGCTAGATGTTGCCAAATGAAGCAGATCAGCCGTGCCAGGTTGTGTCCCAACACAACCAACCCACTTAATTGGGCAAAACACATATCTTCCTGCCTGTTGATACTGTGGGACAATGGATGATATTTTCTCTTGGGGGCTGAGGGCACACAGTGTGCAGGACCAGGCAATTCCTAGGCAGGATGAGGCCCCTCAGGCCACAGGAGCACCTATCCAGTTTTCCCCACTCCCCAAGATATGCTCCCAGGATCTAGGACAATCAAGCCCCAAGAAACATCTGCCCAGTCAGCTGGAGACCATAGACAGCTCTGAGCTGCAGATGCTAGTCCACCATAAAATAAACATGCCCACCACTAAGCAGTGGCACAAGTTGATATCAACTTTGGCATGGCCACTATTTGTGGCACAATAAGGGGTTGGGATGGTTGCTGGGCCTTGGCACCCATAGCAATTTTTATGGTGGCAAAAGTGATGAGCAGCAACAGCTGTTTCCACCCTAAAAGGGAATCACTGAACGCAGCAGCATTCTCTTTACAGAGTCTCTTCATTCACAGTGCTGCAATGTATTGAGGGGTGTGCCTGCCACACAACAGTTCCTAACCAGCCCCATTATTTAGAAGTTGACAGAGGCCTTCCCATGTAATTCTGCTCAGCTTCAATTCAGAGCAGTGTTGCTGGTCAGTGGAAACCCCTTTCAGAGCTGGGTGAGGATTGGATCAGCTGCAAGGACAGCCATTCTGTCAGTGAGGTCTCCCATGACCATGTGAGGTTTGTCCCAGAAGCTCAGCAGTGCTTATCCAAAGGAAAGGAGGTTCAAGAGTAAATGAAAAAGAGAAGGGACCACTACTGAGCAATCTCTCAGGGCTCACACAATTGTTGCCTGCAGAGGTTATTACCAGGCTCTCTCACACACACAGGTGGCTGCAGGGCTACTGTGAACAGTACAACTGAGAGACTTCACAGGCCAAGTGAGGTGCAGTTACCACCTTTAAAGAAGGGTCTTATCAAGGCAGGTATTGGAACTAGTTTTTCTGTTCAATTAAATCAAAGAAAACCCTCCAGAAAAAAGTTTCCCATCCCAAACTGTAAGCTCTCAAAATACCTCTCTGCAGAGCAATTTGAAGAAAGGCATCAGTAGCAATCCTGGAGCAAAGTTACTTTCCCAGTCCAGGGAAAAGCTCTGAACGAACAGCTTGTTTGGTGGCTTTTTCCCTGGACTGATATGATCTGGGAGACTTTCTAACAAGAGGCGAGGCTGTAGCTCCTACTAGGAATTAAAGATCAGCATACCCCAACTCCAGCTCTCCATCCCCCACCATCACTCAAGTCCATGAGGCAGACCCTCAGATTGCAGGAACTCTTGATATTCAAAGCCCTTGTCTCATATCATCTAAGACTCTGGCCTTCCCTCTACCCTCCTCAATGTTACATCAACAAAGGGGGTAAACCCACCAGAAAGGATTGCTTGGCCTCATCGGTGCTTTCAATGCCTTTGGTGTCAAATTTGCCCTGTTGCAAGCTGCTGTGCATGATGTTCACTGCACTGGTCACACCTCGCTGGAAGTCCTGGAAGGTGGTGGCTGGGAAACCCAGCTTCAGCTTGTTGTATAGAACCTCCCTGAGGGTAGAGAGAGTATTGTGTGTTTTAGTACAACTAACTACTCAGGTGGATGGTGCACCACTGGGAAGTGGCCAAGCCAGCAATTGTACAAACACTCTTCTCTGCCCAACACTATCAAAGTAGCATGACCCAGCTCCCTTCTGCTCAAGTCAGGAACCAGGATCTACGCACAGCAAGAGGAACCCTATGTCAAACAGAAGAGACTTGAAAAAAAACATCCAGAAGCATCCTGGGCTCTCATCCAGGTATCTCATTCCTCCTCCCAACAACCTGGTGGGAGTTATCACATGCTTGCATTTGCTGTCTATTCTCCTGTAAGATGAAAAACAAGAGCAGGCCAGCCTCTGCACGCCTCCCACTCAGTCCCAATTCAAGAGCCTTAGACAGCCACTAGAGTCCTGTGGAACAGCAGTCCCAAGAAATTTCATGGGTAACATGGAGGCTACCTGGAAGTAACCAAGCAGGGGCTGCATGAAGACAAGCTACATGATTTATTTTCAGCCCTTGTCCCCATTTGCCCCTTCTAGCCCATTACTGCTACATGAAACCACCCTGTGCCTGCTAGAGAAGGACTGATTAGGCACCACCTAGCTTCATGCCTGTTTTCCACCAGCATGTTCCATGAAAGAAGCAAGATTCCTGTTAGAAAGCACCCAAGGTCCTCTCTTCAGCAAACAGAAAACAGTGGTAAATGCTATCTATGTTTGCCGTGTATCCAAGAACAGCTCAGCATTAGGGTGAAGTGAGTTATGGTCATTTGTGACAAGTCCTGTGTAGCTCATCTTAGCTACTTATCTTTTTCCATTTCCTGCAGGGACTTGGAGCAGCACTTGGCTGCCAGGGCTGCGTGCCAGCAGCCTACCTCATTACCTGAAATTGGACTCCAACTCTGTGGTGGAATGGTTGATCATGGCACAAAGGCAGTCTATGCTGGAGCTGGATAGGGCACGCCCAATGCACTTCTTCACTATGTAAAAGACATCATCCACCATGCTGGAGATCAGCTGACCTTTTTCATACGTGTCCATGGCAACAGCCTGATAGAAAAGTAAACATGTAGCAGGGAGCTCAGTAGGTAAAGAACCAGTAGATTCAGAAGTCACCTGGTAGCTCACAGCTCAGTTCCAAGCACAGGTTCCCTCCTGACACATCCAGTGCACCTGCCATCAGAGGTGGTTCAAGCACCTACACTGAACACCTTCAAGAGTAGATTGGATGTTTATCTTGCCGGGTTCCTATGACCCCAGCTGACTTCCTGCCCCTGGGGGGTGGGGGGTGGGCTGGACTCAATCTTCTGAGGTCCCTTCCAGCCCTAATGTCTACGAAATCTATGAAAAACAGAGTGTGTTCATGTCAACAACTGCTGAAGCACCTCAGCTTTTCCTGTGAAGACTAAGTACCAACAAAGCAGAGCCTTGCTAAGCTACAGGATCTGGCCATACCACTCATGAAGTAGGGCCTGCATACAGGCCATAACTAGCTAAGCATCCATTATTCCAAGTTACTACTGTGGGGAACTTTTGGAAGTGAATAACGGAAAGAAGTTTTTCCAATTATTTCTGTGTATTTCCTATGTGATATTATTCCTAATGACACCCAGGGTGGATTGCTCACTTCCGGGGGCCACAGGCTGAAGGGGAACCTCAAGCACATGCCATACGCAACAGATGACTGTGGGTCTTTCCTTGAATATCAGGACAAGATTGGAAAGCAGGTGAACAAATGCAAAAAGCTCCCCTTTAGACTGGAAAATGCCTTTTTTATGCTGGGCTGCCCCAAGAGGCAGTGCTACAGGCCCTACCTTATTGACCGTCTCTCTCATGAAGTACTCTTCCATGGTGATGTAATAGCCAATCAGTTCTTGCATAGTGCGACTCAGCAGGCAGTTATTGAGGAGCTTGTCCAAGTACTTCTGATGTTCTGAAGAATGCGAGTCAGAGTTACCATCACTGGGTAAGAGCTAGAAAGTGCTTCCACATTCCCACCTCTGTGCCTGTAAAGAGGCAACTGCCACCCACCTGAACAAAACCCAGCAGGTGTTCCCCTGTAGAAACCCTACTGTCTTCGTACTCTACACAGCTAAGAGCCACGATTAAAAGACAGGCAAAAAGAACCATCCCGCTCTGGATGTAACCTGTTCATTCTGCTAGAAGAACTCTTTGGAGCATTTGCACTCTTGAAGTATTTCTCTGCCCCTCACACAAGTATTCTTGTCTCCAGTTAAGACAACATCTCTTTCAGGGCCTTCTCTACAATGCTCCATAAGTGTCTGTGGAAGTTCTTTTTTCCCTGCTTAGCTAATTTGTTCAAAGCGATATTTTTTGGAACATTGATGTAAATCATGGTGTTACAGTCCTTTCTGCAAGGGTCATTCATTCTATAAAGCTTTTAGAAACCCTCTCTGATAGCATCAACTCCAGTCCAACTTAATATATCCCCAATTATTACCTTTCTACTAGGGGTGCACCGATAAAGATTTTTTAGGTCGATACCAATGGCCAATTATTAACTAACCATATTGGCTCATACCAATCCCATTGCTGATATGCAGCCAGGCAGCTTTGAGAACAGCATCCAGCTGGTAAGTCTGTTGTGGGGGGAGAGGTGGGAGGAGGAAAGGGGCGGGGGGCAAATCAAGGCCCCTGCAGTGAGGGAGGGAGTGAGGCTGGGCCTGGGACAAAGCCACGAGCAGCTTGTCCAGGGAGCATGGCATACAACTCCTGCTGCTGTATGCACCTCTGTGGGAGCCATGAGGGGCACATGCCCCTCTGCACATGGGGTGAGGGCAGGCTGCCACTGTGGGCTAGGGCCGGGCTCTTCCCAGCAAGGGGGCTGGGCTGGGGCTGCACTCGGGGCAGGCAGTAACTGGACCCAGCCCCAGCCCCAGCCCCACTCTCACTACATGGACCTCAAATCAATGCACTACAGACTTACCAGCCAGACTCTGCTGCTGGGCTGGCTGTGTACACACTGCAGTTGCATATGCACGCAGCATTTAAAATCAGCGACATTATTAGCCACATAAGCCAAAAAAAAAAATCCAATTGCTGATGATGTCAATTTTCCTTTTATTGGTGCCGATATGATATGGACCAATGTATCTACCTTCCACACAAACAATTGCTGGAGTGCCCATGAGGGACACTACACAGGTAGAAACGGGAAGACAGGTGACCCAGGCAGTCCTAATTGAAAGTAATAGTGCCCAGTAGAGGTGCACTGATATATCAGTTGAGTATTAGATCGACACTAATAAGAGGAAAATTAACATTATCAGCTACTGGATTTTTTTGGCCATTGTAACAGATAATGTTCTCTGATAATTAATTATGCTGTGGCCTCCGGACACACCCCCACCCCCTCACTGGTGGGCTGGGCTGGAGCAGAGCAGCTGCCACTGTGTCCTGGGCACTGGTGCAGTGCAGTGTAAACTAAGGGCTGGGACTGAGGCGGGCACTGTAAAAGGCAGATCTCTGGCTTTCAGTGACTGGGGTGGGTAGAGCCCAGCCCAGCGTGACTTAACCTACAATGCCCAGGGGTCTGTGCCCCAGGGGCTGGGGGCACAGCCTGGCAGGGACCAGGGCAACTGCTCCCCCTGCTGTGTGTAGCCGGGTCCTTTCCATGCCTGGAAGGAAGCCTCTGGGAAGTGGAGGGGGTGGCCCTCCAAAAGCTGCTCTAATTAAAGTGCCCAGAGACCACCCAGCCGTGGGCAGCTGCCCCCCGCCCAGGTTGAGGGAGAGGGGCTGCAACTGGCATGAGGCACTTTTACATGTCCTCTGGAAGCATGTGTGGGGGTGCTTTAATTACAATGGCTCCAAGAGCTGCTTTAAAGTGCTGCCATGTCTCCTGTATCAGCGTCCCTAAACTTAGAAATGGTGGTGGGAGCGCTTGAACTACAGCTCATTCAACAAGCTTTATTACTAAATAACCGTTATCAGATCAGTCAATATGGCTGGTTAATAATCAGCTATCTGTATTGGCCAAGAAAATCTTTATCGGTGCACCCCAAGTGCCCAGATGGCATTCCCCTCCCTCACCATTAAGATGTTGCCCAAAAAGTTTGCGAATCCTTGCTTTCAAGGGTTAAAGCAGGACATGTTACCAGATGCTTGTCAGAGGTAAACAGAGAAGACCTGGGGATCTCCCCATCTAGGTGGTTCAGGGCAACACCATGATGCCAGGGCCTGGGTACTATCCCTGAACACTGCTTTTGACACTGGAGACAAGAGTCCATCTCTTGCATTTAAGTGTGAAATGCAATCCCGTCAGCTGCTGGAGCTGACAGCAAGTAACTGAAGGTAAAAACTGAGCTCTAAACTACCTATGAGAAGAGCCTGACTATATCTACTAGTCAGATTTTCTATTTTCAGTGTCATTTAGCCCTCCAGCCAATGAAAGACAAGGCCTGCCCCAAGAGATGGGTCACTGAGGGATCACACTATGCAGGAAACCACTTGGCTGCATAGCACACAGTCTGCAACATGCTACAGCATACTCTACTCCTACCAAAAAACAGACAAATCTAAATCAGTGAGAAGCTACAGGGGAATAAAGAGCTAGGCAACCACTGGCATTTGAAGCATTACCTTGCTTTACCTCCTCCGAGGCCATGGAGTCTCCCACCTCAAAGTCAGAGATGATTCGTCTCTTGATGAATCTGAGGTACAGCTCGCTGCGGGCATTCATCAAGGTGACTTCAGTTAAAATGGGGTCAAGTTCCCTGCAAGGGGCATAGTGAGAATCTATGTATCAAGCCCACAAAACAAAGTGCATGGATTTTCCTTAAGCAAGCAATGCACACACTTTTGTTTTGCTATGGGAACATTAATATCCACTTCCACTAGAGCTGTGAATGCCAAAGGTCAGCACGATGACAGCCATCTGTAGGAGGCTCCAGAGGGCCAGTCATTACTTCCACTTTTAAAGGCATTTCAAAATTTGTTCCTTCCCAGATTTGCCTCTACCCTTAAAAGCTCCCCTGACTGACATATCAAGTTAAATGGAAACACATCTCCATTATTACAAGTAGCAGCTGAACAGAGGAATTGCCCCAGAGAATCAGCCCAGAGGTCAATCTGAGTCCAGTATTTCATCTCCAACACTGGCCAGCACAAGAAGTTTTAGAGGGGTGTGCAAGATGACAGTAGTGGACAATTACAGAATTACCTAACCAGAGCAGAAGCTTCTTCCTAACCAAGTCTTTAAGTACCTAGCTTATGTGCTGAAGCAGAAGGGAAACTCAGCTTTCCTAGGGATCGTTACAAGTTACTATATTCAGAATCACAAGACAGCTCCTTGCTCAAGCAATGTGCAAAGACATGCTCCACAGATGTACAGAACACATGCCAGGAGGAAGGCTACATTCATCAAAAAGTTCTCCAAAAATAATTACAGAACAACCCCCATTTTGCTGGTGGGTTGTGATAAACACCAATAGGTTGGATGAGAGAAACTATAGTAGCAATAACTGCAATCCCAGCTTGGCCACGTTTCAAAACTCCTGGTCACAACTCCTTGGGTGAGTTTAGCTAGTCTGTATAACAGATCTGGTTCGCTTAAATTCAGGAAATTCACAACTGGACCTGCACGTAAAAAAGCAGAACACTGACAGGGCAAATAAAGGCAACTTTTCATTTAAATGAAAAATGGGTCTTGTTACTTCTAGAGACTTTTTGCCAGTGTAGGCAAAAGGGTTTAAAAAAACAAGATATAAATAAAACCCTCAAGTCACCCTGGAGCACTATTGGGAGGCACTACTGTTTTCACTTTACTTAACAGCAAAAGCCCTAAGAGAGTGACTTCCTAAAAAAAGGCTACCCACAAGACAATGCACTAAATGATCAAGTATAATCACAAAAAACTCTTAAAAGTCAACCTATATACTGGCATTTTTCTTCTAACACATTTCCAGAGCACATGCTGCTGTGAATTCTTGGCACCCTCTAAATAGTCTTTCAAGCATTTTAAACAAAAAAGAACAATGAAACAAAGAACTGCAATCTATTAGAGAGAAAATGATGCAACAGAATTGCACAATGCAGATAGGGTTGATGGTTGCAGCTGTGTTGATCTAAGGACATAGGCAGATATCTTTTATTAGACCAATTAAATAGTTGGAAAAATTGTTCTTGGCAAGCTTTTGGGCA